AGGAGCTAATTTGAGGAGGTTATGATAATCTAAACAACTCCAAATTTGTGACGTACGATGTCAAATAAGGACCAATGACACCTATTGTTCAAAAAGTCTCTATTTGGGTCTTGTCGACACGTCCAACCGACATTCCAAAAATCTGCCTCGGGCCCACGACCTTAGATTTCCAATCTGATTGCACCAACAGACTCTAAATAGTCCCAACATTACCCCGCATCAATTTGGGCCCAATTTAACGATCGAATCATTCTTGATTGCACGATCACGCACTATAAAACAGCGATCGCTCGCCTTAACTTCAAAGGGCAATAACTTCATATCGGGATATACTATCTCTTATCAGTCTGAACCTACAGACTCACAACAACACAGCTACAACATATATAAAATTTGACACGATCCAACGGTCAGATCTAACGGTCCAAAATTTGCAAGGCTCTGATAGTCGGTCCAACGACAAAATCTCGCAATTTTGAGCACACCACCGTGCTCAGGACGTCAAGGACATTAACCTAACCTCAAAATATGAAATTGCAACTTAAACCTTCAAAAATTCACTATTTGAGCAATTTCGAAATTTGCAAGAGAGGCGTCGAAATTTACCTTAGATTGTAGAGCTCGTTCTCACGATCACGTTGGCGAAAACGGTTCAACAATCTGAGCTCAAGAACGAAAGATATGAATTTCCAAATTTTTTAACAAAAACTTCCTTTTTCTTTGTTTGTTCTTCGTTGCAGAAATGAAAGATGACGAAGACGAAGACGCGCGGAGCAGAAGAAAAGGAGAAAAGTAACCCACGTGTGAACAGTACAGTACAGCACAGTAACATTTTTATTTTTATTTTATTTTTCCATTCAAGAATCATAATTTTTTCACTTCAATTCCTTATACGTCCATTAAAAAATTATTAAATTAAACGTAAGGGCATTTTAGTCCAAATTGAGTTTAAAAACTCTTAAATCCATTATTTCCACATTAAACCAACTTCATATACCCACACATTTTAATTAACCTTATATGATTTTTCGGAAGAGTAATAACAACAAAATCTCAAATTTGAGGTTATTACATAATCAATCAAATCTCATCGTCGATTGTTCAAATAAAGTCTATGGTTGATCACAATCAGTACTTAATAAATTAAATCACTCTTTATGGGAACGATGCTTTACTTAACTCTAAACTACTTGTGTGATTTGTACGCTTGCAAAATTACTCAACAAATTTTAGCGTCATTGGTAGGGAGTGTTTTAATTTTTATTAATATAAATATAGATTGATTCGGATTTTAATTTGAATTTTATTTTATTTTTTAATTTAATTTAATTTTTTTGGTTTTCAGGTACGTACTTCACCTTGTGCATGAGTTTTGGGAGACATTTGCAGAGTCTTGAGCTTATACTACTAGATCCAGATATCGAATGAACGCTTCACAAGCTTAACAGATTCAACCTGGTGAAGAGGAAGGATGAAATATTGGAAAAGTCATCACCTATGGCTGAGGAACTGAAACCATTGAGGGACTATGTTGTCATCTGTGGTAGCATCACCATTGAGCATTCGTCGTCCAACCATTAATGCCAATAATTTTGAAATCATACCAGCCATAAGTTCAATGATTCATCAATCATCCATCTTTTGTGGTTTACCTCAAGAAGATCCTACCAGCCATATATCTACCTTCTTGGAGATATATGATACATTTAAGTGCAATGGAGCTATCAACGATGTTGTTCGCTTAAGGCTTTTTTTCTTTCTCATTAAAGGATAAAGTAAAGGCATGGTTGACTTCTCAACCACCTAATTTGATTACTACATGGGACGACTTAACTAATAAATTTTTGGCTAAATTCTTTCCTCCTGCAAAGATTGTGAAACTTAGGAATGACATCATGTCCTTTGCTCAAAATGACATGGAGCCTTTTTATGAAGCATGAGACAGATACATAGATATGCTAAGGAAGTGCCCACATCATGCGCTACCTACTTGCATGCAAGTTCAATCATTCTACAATGATTTGAATAGTACAAGCAAAACAATGATTGATGCTGCAGCTGGAGGAGCTTTAATGGGAAAAACAGAAACTGAGGCTCATAACTTGCTTGAAGAGATGGCGTCTAATAACTATCAATGGTCTAGTGAGAGATCAACACCAAAGAAAGCTGGGATTCATGAGATTGACTCCGTATCTGCGTTAACTGAGCAAATTTCTACTCTTTCTAAACAACTTGGTACTTTCCACATGATTGTACAAAGCATGTGGAAGTTGATCAAAATTTCATTAGAGAAAAGTTGGATGCAGAGATTGTTTCCTTTCCGTTCATCCGTTCTGAGTACCAGTTAGCCGATGTTCTTACGAAAGCTGTTTCTACAAGTATATTTCTCAACTCGCTTGACAAGTTGGGCATGCGTGACGTCTTTGCTCCAACTTGAGGGTGAGTGTTAGCAAGAGATATCCTATTCTATTAGGATATTATTTTATTTATTTCCTTTTATATAGATATTATGTCATTAGGATTCCACTTGTTTTCCCAGTTTGACCCTACTAGGGTTTGTAACCTTGTATTATAAATATTTCCTTTCGGAGAATGAAATATATCTGAAAATATTCTACCCATATTGTTTGACTATATTACGGTACCTCAACACCATCGCCGCCGCACTATCATCCTTCAAACATCTATGGAGCCGATATGGCTTTTCTCTTTTGCTGGGTTACCCACGTCCTAGAAATTCCAAGTTGATTTGGGGAAATACTATGATGGAATGGAGAGGATTTTTTTTATAAATATTTTCATTTAAATCATTAAGCAGTTTAACAATCCCTCCCCCGCCACAACAATATTACCTCAACACCATCGCCGCCGCACTATCATCCTTCAAACATCTATGGAGCCGATATGGCTTTTCTCTTTTGCTGGGTTACCCACGACCTAGAAATTCCAAGTTGATTTGGGGAAATACTATGATGGAATGGAGAGGATGATATGGCACCACGGATTAATCTCAAATAGTACGTAGTATTCAGTTCCATGGATATGCAAAACCAAGCAACAATATTTTTCCAGATTTAAAGGGAGGGAGGATGTGCCCCCGATTTGGGTCTAAAGACCTTAATTATTCCTTGATTGGAATCTCATAGTTAATGATCTTTTGAGTTTATAGCCATGGAGGATCAGATCTGAAATTTCAGACTCAGTTGTGCATTTTTTTATGTTTATTTCATTTGAATATCTCTTTCTTTAATCGATAGTGTTTTACAGGCCAAAAGAAACACAAATAACTGAACAGAGAAGAAGAAACAGAAACAATTTTATGAGTTGAAACCAACTTCTCAATGAATAGGTGAGAATGAAGGCTGGTGTCGCTGGTGGTTATGTTGAATTAAAATGGTGAGAATGAATTTTGTTTATTTAGAAGATGATAAAATTAAATAAACTTAAAAGAGATGATGTGGCACATGATCTCGTAGTCTAATCTCATATGCCACATCAATTGGTATCTAAAAGTTGGTATACAAGTTGGTGCTTATAATATTATTAATATTTAAAACTTAATAATTCCTACGTTTTTACCTTATACCGTCAATTTATACTCGATTGTTGCTGGCTTGACAGAGTCATACAATCATAATTTTTGTGATATTTGCTACATTCCACAAATATAAAATAAAATATAAAAGATACACACTAGATATTCCACGCCTAACTAGACTCTCTTAACCAACAAAAAAAAGAGAGCATAATTAAATTAAAATATGAAACTAGAAAGACAGACACAATTCTTATTTCTTGGATCTTAAAATACCCTAAGCACAACAAGGAGTCCAAACTTGCATTGTTCCTCCTAATCAATTCAACGTCTCCACCACCGCTGATTTATGTGAACATGTCTTCGATGAATACCAATTCTTTCCTCCAACTGAGGGAATATCTTGAGAAGGATGTTGTACACAGCTCTGTAATACCACTTACTCCATCTCTTGCAGAACACGAGTGACCCAATGGCAACTCCAAAGCCCAATGTAAATCCAATTTCGACACTGATAAGATCCCAATTAACCTCATGATTATGTCCAGAATTTGGAGGCCTTCCATTCACTGTTGGTGGTGGTGACAATCCTGCTTTGTTATCCACTGTCAAAGGAGGCCCCCATAGTCCTTTATTTCCTGTAAATGAGGCTTTTGGAAATGTTGAAAACTGAGTGCTGGTTGGGATCCTGCCGACTAGTTGATTATTTGAGAGATTCAAGAACGAAAGGAAAGTAAGTTTTCCCAACTGTGGTGGAATGTGCCCGCTCAACTTGTTCTGTGACAGGTCCAAGCACTCGAGTGCGCTCATGTTACCAAATGAGGATGGGATTTCGCCTGTGAAAGCATTTCTGGACAAGTTAAGGGCATGTAGTGATTTCAATTCTCCCATTTCCTTAGGTATTGGTCCACTGAAATTGTTGCATGAGAAGTCAATCAAGGTGAAGATAGATAGAATCTTTACCAGATTCATCTCTGAACCTTTGTTAGTAACTGTTATACTTATACCATACTCAAAGACCAAAGAAACCTCCTTAAATCCATTCCTGTTTGTTGCCAAGCTCATTCTGTCCGAATTATATATCCTTCTAAGCTCCTGGCCTTTGATTGTCAATTGGAAACCATCTTCGGTAACCATCATTTTCTGCCATGTTCTCCAAAGTATTCCTTGTATTTCACCGCGAAAGTTATTGTGAGCTAGGTCTATGATTTGAAGCCCTGGCCAGGTGCCATTGGTGTTGAGACATTCAATGCCTCCATAAAAGTTGTTGGACCGCAAAACAAGGACACGCAAGGTGGAAATGCTCTTCAACAAGCATGGGAAGCTATCTGTTATATTATTATTTCCCATGTTTAAAACCTTCAACTCAGTGCATTTAGCTAGAGATTTTGGAACCTGGCCACCTAACCGATTTCTACCGATCTCTAGAACTTCCAGTGAACTATCCTTAGAAACTTCAACATTAGAAATAGTTCCAGTCAGGTTGTTTCTCGCTAAGTTAAGTACACTGATATTGCGTATTGCAGTCAAGCATTGGGGAATCATGCCACTGAGAGAATTATTAGACATATCAAGAATCTGAATATTTGGGGCATTGCATATTGATGCTGGAATGAGCCCATGGAAGTTGTTGCTCGAAAAAGAGAAGAATAGTGTGTTTGTGAGGAAATCACCAATATTTGATGGTATAGAGCTGAAATTATTTTTCGAGTAATCCAGATACTTGGCAGATGGTAGGAAAGTGGGGATTTGTCCCTGAAGTTGATTTGAATGAAGGTCAACAGTTTCCACCGTAGAATTACATAAAGGAGTTTCTAAAGTAACCAAGGAGTTATAAGAAAGATTTAGGGAAACAAGTTTATTGGAAGTCCAAATCCAATGGGGTATCTTGCCCTGGATATGGTTTTCTGAAAGGTCCACACTTGATAATTTGGATTGATTTCTCAAGAAATATGGGCCATTGAACGGAAAGGCATTGAAATTGTTGGAAGAAAGACGAAGTGATTGAAAATTAAATATAGAAACCGGTATTTGTCCTTCCAAATTGTTGAAGCTTAAATCAAGGGTAACTAAGTTGGAAGAGACATTAGAAAATACAAGTTCACCAGAGAATTGATTGTGGGAAAGGTTTAGTGGTGAAAATAAGGGAAGAGAAAAGAGAGATGGCGGAATACTCCCCTCGAATAGGTTATTGTTCAACTCGAGATGTGCCAGATTAATAAGATTTTCCCAATGAATAGAATCTATTGGACCATAGAAATTGCAAAATGAAAGATCTATCGTGTACAACATTTTGAGGTTGCCAATGGAGTCAGGCAGTGATCCTGAAAAGTTTGTCCCAAATAAAATCAAGGACTGAAGAGATCCATTATTCTTGGGAAATTCGGGCAAGGAACCACCAAGTTTAAAATTACCCGAAAGGTCAATAGTTTGTAGAGTAGGTACCTGAAAGATCTCTTTGGGAAATGTTCCATTCAACTGACAATTACTGAGACTCAAGGAAGTCAACTTTGAAAAATTGGCAAAGAATCCTGGAATTGGATCGGAGATGGGGTTCCTACTCAAGTCCAAGTCCCTCAGGTTTGGAAAGTTGGCAAAGGATCCTGGAAATAGACCGGAGATGTCGTTCCAACTCAAGTCCAACTCCCTCAGGTTTGGAAAGTTGGCAAAGGATCCTGGAATTGGACCGGAGATGTTGTTCGACCTCAAGTCCAACACCCTTAGGTTTGAAAAGTTGGCAAAGGAACCTGGAATTAGATTAGAGATGTGGTTGAAACTCAAGTCCAACTCCCTCAGGTTTGGAAAGTTGGCAAAGGAACCTGGAATTGGACCGGAGATGCTGTTAAACATCAAGTAAAACTCCCTCAGGTTTGGAAAGTTGGCAAAGGATCCTGGAAATGGACCGGAGATGGCGTTCCAACTCAAGTCCAACTCCCTCAGGTTTGGAAAGTTGGCAAAGGATCCTGGAAATGGACCGGAGATGGCGTTCCAACTCAAGTCCAACTCCCTCAGGTTTGGAAAGTTGGCAAAGGATCCTGGAAATGGACCGGAGATGGCGTTCCAACTCAAGTCCAACTCCCTCAGGTTTGGAAAGTTGGCAAAGGATCCTGGAAATGGACCGGAGATGGCGTTCCAACTCAAGTCCAACTCCCTCAGGTTTGGAAAGTTGGCAAAGGATCCTGGAAATGGACCGGAGATGGCGTTCCAACTCAAGTCCAACTCCCTCAGGTTTGGAAAGTTGGCAAAGGATCCTGGAAATGGACCGGAGATGGCGTTCCAACTCAAGTCCAACTCCCTCAGGTTTGGAAAGTTGGCAAAGGATCCTGGAAATGGACCGGAGATGGCGTTCCAACTCAAGTCCAACTCCCTCAGGTTTGGAAAGTTGGCAAAGGATCCTGGAATTGGA